GTGCCGTCCTGCCCCAGCCCTAGCCCTAGCCGCAGCCCGCCCTGCACAGATCCGGGGAGCACACGCCCCCTTCCCCCAGTATGAGCTGTTTGTGGCTCTGTATCCCTGCCCAGCTGGACAGCTCCAGCCCCAGCCCCACACTCTCCCTCGCCACAGGGGCCTTGATTTGTCCCCCCACCCCAGACTTACCAGCTGGATGCAGCTCTTCAAGCTGAAGAGCTGCATATTGGAAATTGGATTGGTATCAGCTGATATGCCTCCTTAAAAATCAGCTATCAGTCCCAAAAATCTCTATCGGTGCACCCCCTAGCCACAAATGATGCTTTTCCCACCTCAAGGCAAATATGCTGTGCCCTGACCTCTCTGTGTAGCTTACATAGATGTCACACCAGAAGCTGAGCAAAGATGGCAAGTGTCTAAATACAAGGGAGATTTGCAATGAATACCTCATCATTATTGCATTTTTCACACATGCAGTCAGGGGTAAGCCAACCCATTGGTGGCTTGAGAATACCACCTGAACAACTCTTCTGAGCAGACTGCCCAGACCTGCTTCTTTACCTCTGAACCCAAGACAGATTTGATGGTCCTAGCATAGGTATCTATCCGGTCATCCTTCAGTTCCACCCAGGCAGGCTGATTTAACTTCATGCCAAGTGGGCCACAGATCCTTTCCATTATGCTGACCAGCTCGCGTGCCTGGTCCAGAGCACGTTTGGGATAAAACAATGCCCAGTAATGCAGGGGAACCTAGGATACAATCAGGACATCATCAGCATCAAATAACCACGCTTTGCATTTATATGCCCACTCAAAGGACCTCAAAGCACCTTTTTGAAGCCTTTCTTCCATTGAGGTGGGTACATTCTTGTTTTAGAGGAAACCAAGACATAGAAGTCAAGGGACTTGCTCAGCTTCAAGAAGTGAGTCAACGGAAGAGCTGGGGAAGAGGCAGAGTCCCACCAGTTAGATGCTTCTTCCCTCCATTCCCTCACAATATTTGGGGCCAGATAGGCAGAGAGCAGACATCCACCTGCACTGCATAGACAGCTTCTGCAGGACAAATACATCATGTGCTTCAGGCCAAACAAGTTTAGGGAAAGGAAAAAATGTGTGGCATCATAAAAGCAGAGGATCCCAGGTTTTAATGCATACCATCCGTTCCTGTTTGGACACTGTAATAAGCCAGTGATAAAGAACCATTTCCAGTAATGCCTTGGAAAGAACAAGACCCAGTTAATAAAACTACAGCTTTAGGGAACTTCAACTCCACGTCCAGACAGGATTGGCACAGTCAGGACTCCAACTATGCTTGTCTAACCTTAATCAGAAATGAAGGGGATGTTGTTTTTAAAGATGGCATCCAAAATTCTGCTCCGCTGTCTCCCTGCCACGGGGAAGTTGCCTCCCATTCTACAGAGGTAACTTACTGTGGAGAGGGAGGGTTCTCTTGTTATTTCTTTGGTCCAAATGAGGTCTCCAGAAGTCACAAACGAGCTGTTCCTCAAGTTGATTCTTTCCATGGGAAGAACACGCCCCTGTGTCTGAACAAAAACCGAGTGCCACTGTTGCGATCAGGAAACTCCTCTCAAGTCCCCTCAATTCTACCCATGTAGACTGAATGCTTTGTCAGCTAACTCCATACAGTCCCACAAATTATTTGTCAAATACACCAAAAACAGAGAAGAAAGAGAGTCTCTTTATTCCTTCGACTCTCCCAAGACATTAAATGTTCTCAACTAAATGGTGTTTTGTTATGGGGGGCTTGCCCAGGAATTAACATCAAATTCACTTAATTTCTTTAGTTTCTTTAAGGAAAAATAAAAATAAAGAGCAAAGATAAGGGCAGTCGTGAGGAAAAATGCCCTCAGTAAACAATAACAAAGCATGATTAACAGTATAAAGTGGAAGATTAATTGCACAGAAGCCAGAAGAGCCAGAGTCAACAGGATTTGCATTTTCTTTTTAAGCTTTGGCCTTTGTACATAAGCACTCCAAGAGGATTTTTCCCTGTGCAGTCACTTAAATGCAGTTCCAGTGACTGCAGGGAGCTGCAGAAATGGTGCAGTTTAGTTTTTCATCATATGCAAAGCTGATGGCAAACAGGGTCTGATAAAGGACAAGGAGCCCCTGAACTTGCCAGATGGAACAATGCTTCACTAGCAGGGGAAACAATGTCTACAAGGGCTGTTCCTCTCTCTTTCGAGGAGTCACGGCATAACCTCGAATACGCTGAGGTTTTTAATTAACCAACAGTCTACGGCTACTGGCAGATTTCCAAAGGGTGCACCAGGAAGTCAACTGTTTGTTGCAGGTGGAAGACAGGATAATGCAGCGACTACAGGCTGCCCAATACCCCTGGCAGTGTGATATACGTGGCCATAGGAGGATGCACCACACCGTCAGCACTCAGAACTGGCTTTGGGTTCTTGCGTGTGTATTAAAATCAGGTGGGCTCATGCTGAATCACTCCTATATGCCGGTGAGACCCACATGGTTTACTTTCAAAGAAGAAAAAAGGCACTGTGTAGTCTTATGGTGTTAGGGTCAAGAGGCATCAGGATATAACCACTTCCACCATGAGATCCCAACAGATCACAGTACTCTTCAGGGGGCTTCCTAAGCACTTTAAAGCCTTGCACCCTGCCCTGAAGCATTAACTCCGTTTGATAGACAGGGATGCAAGAGAGATTAAAGCTGTAAATCAGTGGCAGGACAGAGGTTCCCACCAGACAACCCCATTGCTCTATACACTAGCCTATGCTGCTCATGTATGGTGGGAAAGCTCTTCTTACTCTAGAGACGTCTGTGTCCAAACGTAGACCCCATCGCAACAATTCTTCGCTGGCAGCCTCATTCTGCTTAATTCGTTGCAGGAGAGCACTCAGAGAGGTGTGGTGTTGCTTTGGACTCAGGTGGATTTGATAGGTCAGGTCCTGAGCAGGACGGGAAGAATGACAGACGTTTGTAAACACCAGCACGTGATCAAATCCTTCTACACGCAGCCACTCCATCAGAGCATCATGTCTAAATGCTCAAGAGCTAGCTCAACTACAGCCCCACTTGAGATGTCTGACCAACCACCCAAGGGTGCAATTGTACCAGTATACTTAACCTTGCACTTCAACCATTAGAGACCATGTCACATACTATTCTGTCTGCACAATGGTGCATAGCTGCAATTACCTAAGCCATCAAAAACCCAGCAGGGCACTGTACAGACATCAAAAAGGCTCACAGGAATATAACAAAGCCGCTTGTTGATAAACACATCACAGAGCTGAGCAAAGAAAAGCGCAAGTATTGCACCTGTTGTTCCCTGGGTGAATCTTTACAGCAGAGGTAGGAAGGACTTATTGGCAGACCTCATTTGCTAGGTCCTCTTTATCTGCAACTGCACTGGGCAACACATGGTGATCTATGACAGTATTTATCTGAGCACCTGCTACCTAGCATCCTGGTGTTGTAAAGAAGGCACGATTTTAAGACACCACAAGCTCATCATACTATTGCTTCCTCACGTTCACACTTTTGTACATCTCAGAACATACTGCAAGCTTAGCCTTGCTACTAACCATCCCCTGCTCCGTAACAATCCCTGCCATCAAAGTAAATCGGTGAAGCCTGATCAACCACTAAGCTTTGGGGCTCAGCAGAAGGTCCCTCAAGTTGTGCACTAGCACAGTACCAGAGGTAGGGTTCAGAGTGCTCCGGCCAGGGCTGTGGAGAGCTTAACTCTCAGAACCACCCACTCCACAAAGCCCCTGGACTCTACCAACTGTGACAGGAATGAGAGGGCTGGTGAAAGGAAGTTAATGTGGAAGTTACTGCAATATGGTCAGAGAGCCAGACTCAGGAAGTGCCCATCACTTTTAGATCCATCCACAGGAAAGCCCCACTGGGCTCCCATTCGCAATGCCCAGTGTCAAGAGAGGGCCTTGGCACAAATGGAGCCAACAGCCATAAGAAATGCCAACTCATTGGGCTTGATGCTGCCCTGCTGCAGCAGTGCTCTGACCTTCATGGCTCTGAAGTCCTTCCTCATCTTCTCAGGGATCCCCGTCATGAAGGAGAGCTCTGGCAACAGCAGAATCTCACCCCTCAGCAGCTGCAGGAAAATAGAAGCCAGAGCATGCTAGCAGCCTGCTATGTACAGGGAAAGCCCTGCCATGCCCAGCTACTGCAGTAGTGAGCAGAAAAGAGGGAAGCAAGCAGAGAGATCACATTGGCATCTTGTCTTCCCAGAGACATTCATCAGAGATGATGGCATCCCCGTTACTTTCAACGGGGGCAGAGGTTGTGTCTGGTTAGAGGTGGGCCCCCTCCACATGGGCTCATGAGCTTTCTGAAAGAAAATCAAGTTAGTCTATGCTTTGAGGTATGTGTCCTGGCACAAGTGCAGAGCAGCCAATCTGATACAATGATAGGACATGCTCTGAGCAGACCCAATCCTCCAACACTGGAGAGGTAAAGCAAGTTACAGAACAGCACAGAAAGGAGACTGGCTGGCCAAGAGGACCAACAGATGAATCCCAGGGGAGCAACAGAAGCTGGTCTCTCAAATAGCCAGGTCAGTGGTTGCTGGGAGGAGCAACCGTCTCTCTCTACATGTCATCTGAATTTGGCACTAAACAGCCTTGCTCAGCAGAGACCAAGAAACAAGTAGGCCCAGAGACTCTCTTCTAGAAAGGATCCCTGCTCCATATCAAGTATAGGGCAACTGGACAGAGGGCTTATGAAAGAAGCTGCTGCTTCTGGATAGGAGCCTTCATCACCCAAGGCCATCAGCTGGTCATTGGGAATTCACCACTGAAATGTCACTGCTGAGAGACTTTTAACACTCACCTTCCCATCAGGACTCTGCTTTTCCTTGGGTCTGTGAATCAGTAGTGGCTGGCCCAGGTCTCTAATGGCTATCCCATAGTTTTTGCTGAAAGAGGAGCAGTGAGATAATTTTAAGATGACACTTCCCCGATGCTGAGTTAACAAGCTCAACTGGATCATGTTGTTGGTTACAGATGCATCTTTCCTCCTACTGCACTCCCCTCCATTGTGGGACCTGCAGGTACTCCTACCTGTAATAGTCTATGAAAGTAATCTCCTTCCCATCGGATGTGGTGAAACTGTCCTTTGGAGTCTTGCTCCACTCAATGTCATCAATGCGGTACGTGCGATTGTTATAGCGGGTAATGACAATGTTGCCAAGCAGCTGCTTGGTACACTCATCCTGGAAGTTCTCTCTGCTCTGCTGGTAGATTGCTTGCCTTCATGGAGAAGAGGGGATAAAAATCTCAGTCAAGTCAGAGTTCAACCCCCTTCCCATATAGGGAGTAAGTACAGTTTGAAAACACACAGGAGCTGTACTTCTGAACCCTTCTTTAAGAAGTAAATTTCAACTAGAATATCTGATCAACGATGAAATACTGGGATGCACTTTTTTTTGTAAAATGGCTATTTGGTGACATGTATGGAATTAGACTAGTTGCCTCAACTCCGGGCTGTCTGAATTGCTTAAGCAATCAACACTACTTGCATTAATTGCTCCTCTTCCCAGGGGTCTTTGCAGAGAAGCCAATGATTAAATAGGCCATGGAAACAAACTACTCCAGAGCCCTTAAAAACTTTTCTTCTGGTTCCTGGCTGAACTGCATTGACAAGGCAACACTGGGGAAACTGGACACTACTTGGACCAGAACTTCTCCACAGTGAAACAAGAATCAGCGCATCAGTGCTCAGACTCCCAGCTCACCCTCATTCACCAACGAAAGCTCAGCATTGGTGCTGTCTGTATGTACCCTTCTCCCTTCCAGAGAACTCTATGTTGGCCCTGCCAGATGCATAAGCTGTGCTTTCCTTTTCTTACTCACATGACATCCAGGACAGAATCATTCCTGATGACCTTGTGGGAGACATCAGCCAACAGGAAGAGTCCTCCATCTGTCCTCCGGATGCTAGCTGAGTAACCTGGCCAGATCTGCAACCTTTGGGGTACAGAAAAGAGAATCTGTGGGTGCCTAGACATATATGTTGAGGCTCCTCTGATGCGCTGTAATAACAGAGTGTCAAAGCAGACTTGATTAATCAAGTCTGCTGGAGGGTGGCAATTACTGCGCTCCAGCAGACTCCAGCATCACATGAAAAATGGCAGCAGGGGCGTTTTAACTAAAGCTCGTTCAATGCTGATACATGTAACACACTGGGTGCTCTAATTAAACCCACTCTTCCCACCCTCCTCCCAGAGCCCATGTATAAATGCCCCACATGAAACATACTCATTGGCTACATACTCACTTGGCTTCCCTAAGTGACGGTGCAGACTCAGGAGGAACTATACCACCGGCAAGAGGGATGGTAACAAAGGATCATGGCTGGCACAGCAGGCAGCCAGAATCTCAGTTCAGTAAGATCTTCAGATGACTTCTCAGGAAGTGAGCAGGGCTTTTTCAGACAAGGTTCTTTAGGTAAATGTAATATCTTTTATTAGACCAACTAAATAGTTGGAAAAAAGGTTCTTTGCAAGCTTTCAGGTACAAACACCCTTCTTCAGAGACTCTTCCTCTGCTTGAAGGAGGGTGTTTGTACCTAAAAGCTTGCAAAGAACCATTTTTCCAACTATTTAGATGGTCTAATAAAAGATACCACATTTACCCAAAGAACCTTGTCTGCCTATGTCCTTAGACGAAGATGGCTACAACCTACACCCCCAGTTACCAAACTAGATCCTCAGCATTAAAGCAACGCACACAACAAGGGCTCTGCCTGCTAGGTTGGCATTTCTAGAACTGAGGTTCTCACCTGCAGCTCAAGCATCTGGACTGATGCAGCATACAATGATCCTGGTTGGACTGAACACTGCTCGTCAGGATTTAAGTAGGATCACCACTACTTAGAGCAACCTCCAACAGCTCACGGACAGACTTGGACTTCACAGAATAAAAGGCACCGGAAGGGACCTGTAAGATCATCAAGCCCAGTCCCCTGCCAAGGGCAGGACGTTACTGGGCTCAAACCAACTCAACGAGGTGCTTGCCCAGCCTCTTCTTGAATGCCTCCAAAGATGGTGACTGCACCACCTCTGCTGAGAGCATGTTCTAGATTCTAGATACCCTTATGGAAAAGTTTTTCCTAATGTCCAACCTACATTTTTCCTCAATTAGCTTGTGCCTGTTGGTCCTTGTCCTCACTGGGGGTGCCTTTCTAAAGAGTTGCTCCCCTAGATCTTGGTGTTCACCCTTGACATACTTGTAGGCGGCTATCAAGTAACCTCTCAGTCTTCTCTTGCGCAGACTGAACAAACCCAGTTCCCAGAGTCTCTCCTGATAGTAGGGCCTATCCTCCAGGCCCCTAATCATATGGGTGGCCCTTCTCTGTACTCTTTTGAGTTTATCCACATCCCTCCTGAAGTGCGGTGCCCAAAACCGGACACAGTACTTCAGCTGTGGCCTGACCAATGCCGCATAGAGGGGAAGGAACACCTTTCGGGATCTGTTGGCAACACATCAGGTGATGCACGCCAGAGTTTCATTTGCTCTGCTGGCGACTTCATCGCATTGCTGGCTCATATTCCTCTTCTGGTCAACTGTCACCCCCAGGTCCCTTTCAGATGCAGTGTCAACCAGTGGACCACCACGCATTGTATAGTTGTGGTGAAGGTTCTTCCTACCCAGATGAAGAACCTGGTACTTGTCCCTGTTGAATCTCATCTGATTGCATTCAGCCCATAAGACCGGTCTGTTGAGGTCATCCTGGATCTTTACCCTGTCCTCAGATGTGCCCACATTTCCTCACAGCTTGGTATCATCTGCAGACTTAATCACTGCACTTTCCACCCCTTCATCCAAGTCACTGATAAAGATGTTAAAGAGCACGGGCCCAAGCACTGATCCCTGGGGGACACCACCAGGATAAGGCCTTCCCATCGGCCTCTGAGCCAATTGCCAACCCACCTCACTGTAGACTGGTCTAGGCCAGTACCCTCCAGTTTAACTGAAAGGATTTCATGGGAGACAGTATCAAAGGCCTTGCTGAAGTCTAGGTAAATGATGTCAACTTCATGTCCCTTGTCCAGCTGGTTAGTTACTTGGTCATAAAAGGACACCAGGTTTGTTGGGCATGACTTACCCTTGACAAAGTTGTGCTGGTTGCTTCTGCATACTGCACCAGTTACAAGCTTGTGGTTGATGGCCTCCTTGGCAATTTTACTAGCACCTAAACTGCATTTACAGAAAACAGTTTAGGTGCTAACGAAGGAAGCAATAGGCACACGGGGCTGGCACGGCCTGTCTGTGCAGAGGGAGCATGGAGATTTAAGGAAGGGGTTGTCCATGACACACCATGGGAAGGGTCTTTTGTTCAGAGGAAACCAAGAATATGGGACAAAGGACAAAAGCCAACACTGCATGTTATTCCCTTCTCCTGACTGTAGGCTTTGCCTCTCTGCCTGTGTATGCTCCAAGCTTTTCAGGGCAGGGACTATACCTCCTAATAATCTGTTCAACTCCCAGGTCACCCACACAGTAGAGGCCCCCTTCCTGGTGGATGCTTCTGGTCAATACCACAGCACAAATAGCACACAGTGAAGGCCCATGACCTAGCAGCTGTGAGATCATTCATCTCTCATCTGGGCAGTTATGCTGCACTAGGACATTCCTAGAGTCAGGTGTGTGGATACTATGGCAATAAGCGCACAAACAGACAAATTCCAGTACTAACCTGTACTGGGGCAGCACTGTAGCACTGGTGGGGTCATAAAAGTTTCTCCCAACAAGTTTCATCTCCAAAATCTTCATCACCCTAGAACAGAAAACCAGTATCATTTTGGCAAACAGACAGCTAGGAGACACTGTTTTGTTGCAGTGTGTAACTCACCATCTGCAAACAGCCCCAAAGGCATCTAAGCTGTGATCCTTTGAGACCCTTTCCATTCTTTGCCCAGAAAAAGGCCCACTATGTTGTGCAGAATAGGGCGCTGAAGTAAATTAAAAATTCAGAACAACGGATTTCATCCACTAAAGAAAAGAAATAAGCATGGGCTCTTTTCTGGGCAAAGGCAGGAAAGGATCTTAGTAAGTTCCCCCCAATACACAGTTGCTTGTTTTAACTTCCTGTGTCAGGTTATTCAAGTTTTACCTCTACTGCATCTTGTGACAGACTACAAAATCAGGTGCTCTCTACATTCTACAGTCTCAGATGAAGGCCAGTGACTGTTTTACCAAGGATTTTTTTTTTGTCAGCAAGTTTGTCAGTGTTGACATTAAAATGTTGTGTTAGTAAAATGAAACTCTTAAGTAGAAACTAAAAATAAAATCCTTCTCTGTTGCTTGGATTCCAATCCCTTGTGATATCACAATCCTACAGTTTGCCAAAACAGCCATACTCTTCCAGGAAAGAGCAGATACACAAGGTCTCAACTTCCCAAATGCAAATTTCAGGATTTATTTCTACATCAGAATGTTCCCATCTTTGGGACAGCTTGTGAAAGAAGCAATTAGCTTCCTAGATCACTGTCTTCCTTCAGTTAACTATTACTGGGTTAATCTGTATGAGAGAATAACCAATGCCACCTGATCTTGGATATAACTTTACATGACTCACCAAGATAACACAGGCCACTCTAGCATTTCTCCTGGGTAAAATCAAGCTAGTAGTTTTCACACTTACAGATTCTCATGCAGTAGCTCAATAGTGCAATGTTTGGGTTGCAAACATAGAAGGAAAGATTTACATCCAAAGAACAACTCTACTGGTTTTTCTGTAAATCACCATACAAGCCTTTCTAGCCATGTTGAGTTTGACTACTTCTCCCTACTAAAATACCAGCGTCTTCCTACATAAAGTTATTTTACTCATTTCCAAGAGCTGGATGAACTTGCAGGAAGTGAGAGAATGCCAAAATAACCTTCCTGACATAAAGGAACCTCTGCATCTCTTTGCGACCTCAGTACTGAGTAAAACTAAAAAAGCTGAGCGTGCCCTGTTCGCATGCACAGCCACAGGACAGAAAGCTCTGAGGCAGCAGGCTACATATGTCAGGGTTCAAACATCCCTCTTATTCTAGAAGGAATTTGGTCATTTCCATCAGAAGGCAAGGCAGACAAAGGGCTACTCTAAGGCAAGAACGTAAAAATCCCAACTGCTTTTAGTCACAAAAGCAAGTGGTAGTAAAGTTGAGGGTGCAGAAGTCAGCCTGTAGTAATATGGCTATTCTCTCCCTCCATCCACCTTGACCTTTAGTGGAACATGCTCCTCTGTGAAGGGCTGTAGAGAAATTCACTCTCTCTATATATTTCCTCAATACATACCCCAGGTTATAGTCACAACCCTCCAGACCAGGGGTGGGCAAAATGTGGCCCGCGGGCCAGATGCAGCCTGCCACTTCATCTAGCTGGCCCACGGGGCCCCTAAAAATTTAGAAAATTAATATTCATCTGCCCCTGGCTGCCTGTCATGCGGCCCTCGGTGGCTTGCCAGAACTCAGTGAGCGGCCCCCCACCCAAAATAATTGCCTGTCCCTGCTCCAGACCAAGACTGAAGCTGTGCACAGTCCAAAGCAATCAATATCTTCTTAGCCTGTGAGAACTGTGACTCTATAGAAACTCAAGTAAACCCAGAAGTGAGAGACTAAAGACAGACAAAAATCAAATCTCCTGGAGAACACACCCAATTCTACTTCTGGAATATCCAGCAAGATCCGCTGGCTAGGACCTTCACATCCAATTCAAGGGTTAAGCAGCATGGTAAATCACCAGTCTTAATTGTTCCTTACCTTCTGAAAACAATGTTGTAAAATGGAATGCATAGGTCCGAACTGGGTTCAAGAATTTTGGTCATCTGAATCCTTATGCTGATCTCAACTCCATCAGTCTTCCTCTGACTTTTCAGATCAGAAGTCTAATGTGAGAACAAAGACATTTTCAGTAGTAGCAAGAAGAGCAATGTCAACATTACATGTCTATTGGGTCAAAAGTGTTCGGGGTCACTGGCTTAAAGTTTCTGAGATTGTAGATGCTGGTGGGTCTCTGTGCATACCAAGGATGGAGAACTGGAGACTTCTCCAGATGTAGAACTGGAGCTTCTGGAACTTAGGTCCTACACACTGGGGTTTTGGAAACATCTTACTTACAAGTCTACCACAATACTCCAGTCCTAACATGCTACACCCTTCCCTATTCCAGGCCTGGGTTTCTGAAAAACCAGCAGAGTTGTTCTATGACATGCAGAGATATACTATAGGGCAGACAGGTGCAATCCCTTGTCACAGATAGCAAGCTGATCCACTGAAAACCCCTTCTCTAGCTCTACTTTCCAGTAATGCATACAAGCCACAATTTGGAGTCTTACACAAGCCGTCCAAGGTTCAAGTAAACCATATGATGACCATCCGAGGGTGCTGAAGGCACTGGCCGACATCATAGCAGAGCCACTGGCGGGAATATTTGAACACTCGTGGCGCATGGGCCAAGTCCCGGAGGACTGGAAAAGGGCCAATGTGGTCCCCGTTTTCAAGAAGGGGAGGAAGGAGGACCCGGGCAACTATAGGCCGGTCAGTCTCACCTCCATCCTCGGCAAAATCTTTGAAAAAATTATCAAGGCTCACATTTGCAAGAGCCCGGCAGGACAAATTATGCTGAGGGGAAACCAGCACGGGTTCGTAGCAGGTAGATCATGCCTGACTAATCTAGTCTCTTTTTATGACCAGGTTATGAAACGCCTGGATATAGGAGGAGGGGTGGATGTCGTGTACTTAGACTTCAGGAAGGCCTTCGATACGATATCCCACCCCATACTGGTGAACAAGTTAAGAGGCTGTGACTTGGATGACTACACAGTCCGGTGGGTGGCGAATTGGCTAGAGGGTCGCACCCAGAGAGTCGTGGTGGATGGGTCAGTATCGACCTGGAAGGGTGTGGGCAGTGGGGTCCCGCAGGGCTCGGTCCTGGGACCGATACTCTTTAATGTCTTCATCAGCGACTTGGACGAGGGAGTGAAATGTACTCTGTCCAAGTTTGCAGATGACACAAAGCTATGGGGAGAAGTGGACACGCTGGAGGCGGGGAACAGCTGCAAGCAGACCTGGACAGGTTAGACAAGTGGGCAGAAAACAACAGAATGCAGTTCAACAAGGAGAAATGCAAAGTACTGCACCTAGGGAGGAAAAATGTCCAGCACACCTACAGCCTAGGAAATGACCTGCTGGGTGGCACAGAAGTGGAAAGGGATCTTGGAGTCCTAGTGGACTCCAAGATGAACATGAGTCGGCAGTGTAACGAAGCCATCAGAAAAGCCAATGGCACTTTATCGTGCATCAGCAGATGCATGACGAATAGGTCCAAGGAGGTGATACTTCCCCTCTATCGGGCGCTGGTCAGACCACAGTTGGAGTACTGCGTGCAATTCTGGGCGCCGCAATTCAAGAGGGATGCGGATAACCTGGAGAGGGTCCAGAGAAGGGCCACTCGTATGGTTAAGGGCCTACAGACCAAGCCCTACGAGGAGAGACTAGAGAAACTGGACCTTTTCAGCCTCCGCAAGAGAAGGTTGAGAGGCGACCTTGTGGCTGCCCATAAGTTCATCACGGGGGCACAGAAGGGAATTGGTGAGTAGTTATTCACCAAGGCGCCCCCAGGGGGTACAAGAAATAATGGCCACAAGCTAGCAGAGAGCAGATTTAGATTGGACATTAGGAAGAACTTCTCTGCCTAGGCAGGGGGTCGGACTCGATGATCTATTGAGGTCCCTTCCAACCCTAGCATCTATGAATCTATGAATATGGCTGTTGACTCTTCAGCCTGTCTGGTTTTTGCATCAATGTGTCTTACTTGAGGCAACCTGATGGGCAGGTAGAGGATCAAGCCATCAAATGCAGTTACATCTCCTGTCACCGATCTGTGCTCCTTCAGCATACCAAACCGCATGCTCTTACACTCCACATTAGGACTGCAGGGTAGGTGGAGAGAAAGAAGAATGTTGTTATAGCACTGACAATCAGTTTTCACTGGAAAATGTAAGGCTCCTAGAGATTATAGTCAATGCTACAGTGCGGATTATAAATTCTTCAGTGTTTTAGCAAACTAAATTATGACAAGTCCATAACCCAAGGGTGAGCTCAGAAGCCACATGAAAATTAACACACGAACTGAACATGAGATCACAGACTGCCTGAAACCAACTTTCCTGTGAGGCCAACACAGCCCCAGTCCTTACCCTACAAAGTTACAGCTTTTCACTGCAATGGATTTAAAAAACGACAAACTATATTTGTGACTGCTGCCCCATCTAGTGGCTATTGCAAAAATAATGACTGACCATTAATGCTCCATGCCAGGAGAATGGGTAGGCATTGCACCACAGCTCCAGGACAGTCCTGTGACCACTAAATCCTATTCTGGGAGAACTGGTACCTTACAACCCAATTTGATTCCACATTTTTTGATAGCAAAGACTACTCTGGGCAACTCATTTTCCAGCTCTCAATTGCTTGAAATTCATTCAGTGGAGGTACCTCATGGAAGTCATCAAATTCCACTGTTTTATTTCACTG